GGATGTGCAGTTTCTCAGCCTTGGAATCAACATCAGATGGGGTCTCAAGAGAGGATTGTTGAGTAGGATCAAAGTCCGTAGAAGGACCTGCACTTGTTCAACCTCTCCTTTCTGTAGAGTGTGCTGATAATATCTCTACCCCATTTGCTAGTTTCCCTATTGCAATCTGAAACATTGTTGGACTGAATGTCATGGTTCGGTGCAATGCAAGCAAACCCCTTTCTTGATAATGTGTTTCCACTCACTTAATCCTGAGATCTACCCATGGTTTTGTGGCAGGATCCTCCGGTTTGGGTGGAATCTTTGCTCCTTCGGGGAGGTGAATGGTGTCAGTAATGTTCTTTAGTGGGTTCCTCAGGCCCTTACTCTTGAAGGCAATCGTTTTAAACGCATTCATTGATTCATCATCATCTGCAGTTGCGGACTCGTAGGCCGAAGAACAGGCCAGGGCAGCATCTTGCTCTTGATCATCACCAAGAGTAGAACCATCTGCACCAGCCTGATGATCGGTTGATCATCGGACTCCAATAGGTTGTGTGATGCAAAACGGCTGCTGCCTCCATGCTGTTTGCAACCAAAGGTGTTCTTGACGCTACCTGCTGCGTGGAAGAGGTCTTGTGCCTCTAGCTTGACTATGTCCTTCATGAGGGAAAGCCAGTCTGTGTACTCGTAGAGTCCTAGGCTCCTAGCCCAAGACTATTAGTAATGGTCGAGGGTACCGTGCCTTTGACAACATTTAGACATGATTGTGCTGTCATCTCCAAGCCGGGTGTGGCGAAGAGGTTGTTGAGATGTGTCATCAGGTTTTTCATACTCTTGGCCCACTTGCTGCATTTGACATAGTCAAACTGGTATCTTGCTCTTGCTGCAGCATGCGGATCCTGATAGAGTTTGATGAAGAGTTCCTCGATTGCAGTGATCTCAGTGGCCTTTAACCACTTGTTCCTGTCCAGTCTGGTGAATCCGGCCTGTACGGCTTGGAGCTCTACCCAGCTCCTTACTTCGGGCATGACATTGGTTCCCACGACAACCAGTTGAGTAACCGGGGTAAGTATACACGCATAGCCGTGAGCCAGGACATGACGTCATCCTTCCCGCCGTATCTAGGCAGTAACACGACCGCCTTCTTATCCACATATGGAAAGCCATTACTAGGACCAGGATCTGCAGGAACTGGAACTGGGACTGCACCAGTTGCAGAGCTCCCTGCGCTGCTACTTTGTGCAGCAGCAGTGGAAGGTGCACCTGTTGCAGGTCCCATATTCATCAATCTCAAGGATGAAGAAGAGAAGAGAGGGGCTTAGGTGGTAGACAAGGTAGCAGAATTTGATGCATTTGGCAGAATTGGGGGGTTAAGATTAGCCTGATGCAGATTTCCTGCAGATCTTTTACCTGATCAAACAGTTTGGGAACCAAGCCCGGGAGGGGGTCCATCATGTGGCAGTCAATTAGTCCTCTCTCGTGGGTGACCAAGTGTGGCTCTATCTTATTGTCCGGTAAGGAGGGAACAGTTTTGAACACATCCTCGTGACCCTGTATAGTGGCCTTCCTCCTTCCTTCTGACGCCTCTTCCTCCAACTTCGCTTCCTTTTTCAGTGCACTCTCATAGAGGGCCTTGAAGAACGGCTTATCCTCTACATCTCTAGCATCCTTTGTGCCTTCAGACTCACCGAAGCTTTTGCTGCCTGCTGCTGCCATGTTAGTTCTACTGGGGCTTTCATCATGCAAGTCCGAAAAGGCTGGTACTCTCTCTCTCCTTGTCTGTGATCGTGTCGGTACAGTCATTTGTCAACCCAATGAAAGAAACAGTTTGAAAACAATTAGAAGAGAAGGTAGAAGTCCTAGCCGGAGCCGCAATTCATTTGGACTGGAGAGCAGACAAAATAAAAAAATAAAATAAAATCGGAGAGATCTGATTCAGCAACACAGTCTGGTCCGACTACGTATGAGATCCCTCAAGCCTAATCGGACGCAGTCCCGTAAAGGCACAGCAAATCAAATTGAAAGTGTACTACACAATGCAAGAGAGAATCGAGTGGTGTCTAAGGTGCGAGTCAAGCGGTAGACCGTGCAATAAAGTTTGTGAAACGTCTCAGCTGAGATCCGCTCAGCAGCGAGTGTCCTTGTCCGAAAGCATGAACTCCAATTCCCAGCAAGCTAGAGCAAGGTGACTGAAGTCAACCTTCTTGTTTGGGCACAATCCCACTGGGTCCAAAAAGGTTCCAGTTGAGTCAAGACTGGGTCCCAGCCAACAAGAGTTCCACAAAGTCCCTACCGTACTGAAAAACGAATTTCAACTCCAGAAAGACCCACAGACTACAGCCATTCAGAATGAAAATGAAGTACTGTA